GATGGGGTGAGCTCCCATTGCTCAGTCCCTGCTCCTGCCAACCTAGCACTTCAAAAGCACCTCAAAGTGCAAGTAGATAAATAGGTACCACTCCAGCAGGAAGATAAACGGCGTTTCCATGCGCTGCTCTGGTTCGCCAGAAGCGGCTTAGCCATGCTGGCCACATGACCCGGAAGCTGTACACCAGCTCCCTCGGCCAATAAAGCGAGATGAGCGCCGCAACCCCAGAGTCGGCCACGACTGGACCTAAGGGTCAGTGGTCCCTTTACATTTACCTATTTTTTTTAAAAAAAACTTTCCCCTCTCAGACAAACTCTCCTGTGTGTGTGTGTCTGTGAGAGAGAAGGAAGGGGGAAGAGAGGGAGATCTTGAGCAAAGCCTCAGTGGATGGCTATGTTCTGCCTCTGCCGCCCTTTGAATGATAGCTGCTCAGAATTGCAGAGAGCTTCGGTTGTTGCACTCAGGTCATGCTTAATTTTGGGGGTTCTCTTTGGGGCACCTGGCTGGCAATTGTGAGGCAGGATGCTGGCCCCGAGGGAACCCCTTTGGTCAGATGAGAGAGGGCTCTTCTGATGGGCAGGAAAAAATGGCCTGGGAGGAGTGGGTTTGGCGGCCCCTGCTAACTTTGGGTGACAAACCCAAGACTGCAGTTTTCCATGGCTGCGTTTTCATTTTGTTTTTCAATTGGGGGGGGGGGGAGGTGCCTGAGTGGCTGAGCATCCCACACACTTTGAGAATTAGTCACCTGAGCTTTTGAGCTCCACCATCCTGACTTCCCGCTTTTTGTCGCAGGGGGTGGGTGGAGGGAGATAGATTAACCCGATGAGAGGGGGCATCTGAATTACTTCCACCTGTGAGCAGGAGACTGCTAGGCCTGTGGGAATGTTCAGGGATGCAGGAGAGGATATATTGTTTGATTATAGCCTTTCCAGCTTGTGTAAACAAGTTCCACAATTTAGCAGAGTAACATTCCCCTTTTTAAACTTGCACAGTGGATGCGTTTGCTCAGGCTCGCTTAAGCCTCTATAATAACTGTTCTGGTATTTTCCCCTCATAAAAGATAAGACACGACACAGTCTTCTATAAAAGTATAAAAAGAATTTACTCACATTCTGTTCACCATTGGATCCCAGAAGGCAGACCTATCTTAGAAAAGTAACATATACCTGGAAACTATCTCATAAGGAGACAGTCCCTTTGTCCTCTCTGGGCTGGAGGCCAAGAGAGCATCTTTGGCTAAGCAGATGTTGCTTCTTCGATGGCTGCCCTGCCCTGTGCTGTTGTCGTTACCTGCACAGGTGAGGCCACGCCCACCTCTAGTCACATGCAGAGGAAGTCTGTCCCAGCCCAGGAGGAAACAGGAAGTTGACCTGCTGGCTGGACAAACATTCCTCCCCATGTGCAAACATGTTCACTCTAGGAATGTTGTACTTGACTGCTGTTGTGTTTCACATCCCACAAGGCCAACCCCCATGCTGAGGAAATGCCCCCACAAGAATGAAATGGCTTCACTTCAGACACGTTTAGCAAACCACCCCAAGGCTAGCCAGCAAGACATGGATGCAAACATCTGTTGGACTTTGCTATAAAGAATAACGAAAACTGATGCACTTGTTTCCTGCTATTCTTTCGGAAACACCACTGCTCTCCCCTCCATGCGCAAAGACCTTCTGATATTTCCAGACTTTGCTGTGCCCCTGGGGCAAATCCTGCTGCCCCGGTTGGTGTCAGGATGTGCCCAGTTAAAGGATATGAAGCAGCATTTGCTGTGGGTGCTTTGGGAGGTTCCCTTCCGATACCTGCTTGGACCAGGTGATCCCTCCAAGCCATCCAGTAGCTCACCCTCTTTTATTGCTCACTTGACAACTCTCAGCCTCTCTCTCTGGGGAGGAAGGGCCATAGCTCAGTGGACGCAGAGCACCTGCAAACCCAGGTGGGTCTGGGCATCTTCCTTGCCTGAAGCCCTGGAGAGCTGGAACTAGTCCACACACACACACACACACACACACACACACACACACACACAGTGGTGCCTCGCAAGACGAAATTAATTCGTTCCACGACTTTTGTCGTCTTGCGATTTTTTTCGTCTTGTGAAGCACGGTGTCGGAAAAGTTTTGGAAAAGCTTCAAAAATCACCAAAGTCTTCAAAAACCTCAAAAAGGCTACCACACCGCGTTCTACGAGTTGCTCCTCGAAGTCAAGTCGCAACTGTATTAACGGTGTTAAGAAAAAGGAAACAAACTTGCAAGACGTTTCCGTCTTGCGAAGCAAGCCCATAGGGAAAATCGTCTTGCGAAGCAGCTCAAAAAACAAAAAACCCTTTCGTCTTGCGAGTTTTCCGTCTTGAGAGGCATTCGTCTTGCGAGGTACCACTGTAATTGGTTTTTAAATAATTTTATACATTTTAACACAACCATTTCAAACATTAAAGTACAAGGTTCTTGAACCTTCGGACCTCCTTCCCTCCCCCCATGGGTTCCACGTTTGAGATTAAATTTGCTGCATCTTTTACCCTTATCCATCTGTTAAATAACCATAATTATCCAAAATATTTCCACATTACAAGTGTCATTGCATCCCTGCCACAGATTTTAGCTGTTTAAAGTGGTCTTTTAAATCAGTGTTTCCCAACCTTTTTGGGGCAAAGGCACACTTGTTTCATGAAAAAAATCTCGAGGCACACCACCATTACAGCCCCGTGACGTCAGCGCGCAGCGTCATGCCGGGAGGGACGCACGAAAGTGTAAGATTCAATTTTCCCCCCTCCCCCTTGCCTTCCTTCTGTGCCAACCGCCAAAAAGCCAAGAATCGCGGGACCGCCAGCGGAGGGGGGGAGGGCGAGCGGAGGCAGCGGCGAGCCCCGTTCCTCCCCATCCGCCCCATTCCGTGCAAGGAGCGCGAACAGGTGTGAGAAGGGGGTCAAACCTGCGGGTCGGCGCCAGGGAACCTCCAAGCTTTGGGGGTGGGGGGGAGGAGGCAGCAAAGCGAGGCAGGAAGGAGAGCGCGGCTTGGCGAAGTACTCGGCGGCGAAGGCCAGCAGGTCCGGCGGCCGGTGCTGCAGCACCTCCACCGTGTAGCCCTGCAGCAGCTCAGTCAGACCCGGCGGGATCTCGATGCTCATCTTGTAGCCGAGGCGCGCGGGAGACTCAACGGACGGGCCCGGGAGAGAGAGAGAGAGAGAGACACGACGGAGAGAGAGCGGGAGTCCCTGCTCGCCGTCGCCACCGCTACAACTACTGTGGCGGTTGGTCGTGGTCGCCGCCGCCGCCGCCCACCTCTATCTATCTCTCCCCCTCAGCTTTCTACGCGGGCCTCGAGCCGGAGGTGGGGGGTGGCCGCCGCCGCTTTCTCCGCCTCCACGTCCTGCCTCCTCCTCCTCGAGCCCTCCGTCAGCCCTGAGGGAACCGCCGCGCTCGCGCCGCCGCTCTCTGACACGCGAGAAAGAGAAAGGAACGGAGCGGCGGGGTAGTCGGGGGAAGGAGGGGTCGGAATGGAAGCGCGAGGCGAGGTGCGCATGCCCAGCAGGAAGCGGCGGAGAACGCCACAGAGAGAGAGAAAGAAGCAAGGGAGGGCGGGGAGTGGGCGGGAACACGCTTCATGCATCACAATAACGGACAAGAGGCGCTCGAGGGATAGATTAGGACCTAATTTGACTTTTACAAAAAAAAAAAAATCTTTCAAATTTTCCCCACGGCACACCAGGCAACATCTCGCGGCACACTAGTGTGCCGCGGAACAGTGGTTGGGAAACACTGTTTTAAATGAATTACAAATTTATTCCAGTCTTTAGAAAATACTTGATCTTCTTGGTTTCGGATATTCCTCATCAGTTCCGCCATCTCCGCATACTCCCATCAGTTTCGTCTGCCATTCTTCTTTGGCTGGGACTCCTCCTTCCTTCCATCTCTGGGCTAGTAGCCTTCTTGCTGCCGTCGTTGCATACATAAAAAGTCTTTTGTCTTCTCTTGGTAACTCTTCACCTATTCTATCTAGTAAAAAGGCTTCTGGTGATTTAACAAATGTATTTTTGAACATTTTCTTTAGTTCATTATATACCAACTGCATTGGCTCCCAGTGGAGTACAGGGTCAGGTTTAAGGTGCTGGTTTTGACCTTTAAAGCCCTATGCGCCCTAGGACCCGTGCACCTATGGGACTGCCTCTCCTGGTATGTCCCGCAGAGGACCTTAAGGTCCACAAATAACAACACTTTGGAGGTCCCAAGCCTCAAGGAGGTTAGATTGGTCTCAACTAGGGCCAGGGCCTTTTCAGCACTGGCCCCAACTTGGTGGAATGCTCTGTCACAAGAGACTAGGGCCCTGTGGGACTTGACATCTTTCCGCAGGGCCTGCAAGACAGAGCTGTTCTGCCTGGCCTTTGGTTTGGACTCGGTCTGACCCTTACGTTTCCCTCCCCTTACGGTCTTGATTTATCGGCTACTTTAAAATGAGGCTGCATTTTAAATTGCATTTTAACCTGTATTTTAAATTGGTTTCTCCCCCCCCCTTCTCTTTTCCCCTATTATGTTTTTACTCTTGCTGGGGAGGGCGGGGTATAAATAAAAATTATTATTATTATTATTATTAATCATTTCCCAGAATGCCTTTACCAATGTACTTGTCCACCACATATGGTAAAAAGCACCCTCTTTACATTTCCAAGACAGTTTTGAACTTCTTTTGTACATTTTAGCAATTTTACTTGGTGTTAGATACCAGCGATGAACTGGGACCAGTCCTGACCTGCCTGCAGCTTCTTGCTCTCTCGCCCATCCCAGACCCAACTCCTCTGCTCCTGTTTCCCAGCAGAAAGGGCAGGAGATCTAGGGCAGCTCCCGTCAGGAGGGGAGGGGGCGGGTTTCAGCGGGATGGGGGCTGCCAGGCAAGCCCGCCCCTCCTCAGTTGTGGGGCTGGGCCAAGAGTTCATGCGGCGCTTCTTGCGGATGCGTTTCTCAGATGTGCACCTTCTCTTTCCTGGGGTGGGGTGGGGGCCTCTCCAGAATGCCCCCTGACGATGGCCGCCCAGCTGGAGTACTGTATCGACATGATCAAAGCCCTGAGGAACGGAGGGGCCCATCTGGATTTCCGGACGCGAGAGGGCATGACGGCTCTGCACAAAGCCGTCCGGTGCCGGAATCACACTGCCCTGATGGTGAGTTTGCCTGGAGCCGCTTTCCTGTTCTTCCTGCTGCTCTCGGCTAGCTTTACTTATTACCCCCCCATTCCATCGCGCCCCCTCTCCCCCTTATGAATTTGCCACCCCTGGGCAGACGGTCTCGGAGCTGACCAGCCTCCCTTGCATCTGCCTAACCTCATGGTGTTGTTTTTGGGGGGGGGTTTCCCACTCATGGCGCTGGGGGCCACTTTCCTGTGTCTGGGGGTGTCACAACTGGCTGCTTTGCAGGTTCTGAATGTTCTTGGTGGGGTGGGGGGAGGTAAGCATGAAGAGGTTGCTTAGCAACAGCCTAGCACACTGCCCCCCAAACGGGATGGGGGCAACTGCCTTGATTCTCATCGCCGCATCCTGCTTGCTCCTCCCGTAGAGCCTGGAGGCGCGCTCTCCCTTGCCCTGTAGAGGCGGACCATCCAGCACTGAGTTAACCTATGGAACTCCCTGCCACAGGAGGCAGTGCTGGCCCCCCACCTAGGTGGCTTTAGAAGAAGATTACCGTATTTTTCGCTCTATAAGACGCACCCGACCATAGGATGCACCTAGTTTTTAGAGGAGGAAAACGAGAGAGGAAATATTCTGAATTTGCTCAGCGCTCCCTTTAAAGAGCTGAGCCAAACCTGCTGGCTTTTCTGGGAGGTGAGGAAGGGACGACGGGCGGCCCGCCAGTCCCTTCTCTCTCCTCGGGGAAAAGCCAGCAAGAGGCACACACACGCTCCGTGTGGCTCTTTAAAGGGAGCGCTGAGCAGAGCCTCCCGCCTGCATTCGCTCCATAAGACGCACACACATTTCCCCTTACTTTTTAGGAGGGGAAAAGTGCATCTTATGGAGCGAAAAATACGGTAGTCAAATTCAAGGAGGAGGAGAGGGCTTCCAATGGCTACTTGCCAGGATGGCTCTGCTCTGTCTCCAGTGCCAGAGGCAGCAAATCCTTCTGAATCTCAGTTGCTGGAAACCACAAGAGGGCAGTTGCCATTTTGGGGTTTGCCTCGGGCACCAGCATGTCTTGGGCCGGCCCTGCCGTCCCCTTAATAAAATTGGGGATGTGGAAATGAAGCTCTGAGGCCCACTAGGGTGATCTGATGGTGCGCTCTGCACCATTTACATGTCCATCATCATCACTGTCGTTTCTTTGCAACCCGCCTTTCTGTCGCTTGAAACCATGCTCAAGGCGGCTTACAGCATGCAAAGATTTGCGCAGCTGCAAAAATATGTTGTGAAACTATAACGAAAGTGTGGGAATGTTCTGGGGTGCAGGAGAGGATATATTGACTAATTATATCCTTATCCAACTTGTGCTAACAAGTTCCCAAAATATCAGCAGAGTTTATAAACATTCCCCTTTAAGTGCGCAACGGTAACGCTTGCACAGGTTCGCTAGAACCTCTATAATAATTACCCTGGTAATTTCCCCTTTTGTTCCCTCTTAAAATACAAGACACGACACAGTCTTCATAAAAGTATAAAAAGAGTTTACTCACGTTCTGTCCACAATATGATCCCAGAAGGCAGACAGCTTTAAAAGGTTACATACATTCAGAATCTATCTTGTAGCAAGATAGTCCTTATCTCCTCTCTTGGCTGGGAGCCAAGAGAGCATCCTTAGATGTTTCCTCATCGAAGGAAGATGGCAGAGAGAGAGAGATGGCTGCCTGCCCTGTCCTTTTATCATTTACCTGCACAGGTGAGGCCACACCCACCTCTGTCACATGCGGAGGAAGTCCGTCCCCAGGAAGTTTACCTGCTTGCTGGACAGACATCCCTCCCCATGTTCTAACATGTACACTCTAGGAATGTTGTCATTGACTGCTCCTGTGTTTACATCCTACAGAAAGTAGTCATGAGCAGCAAACTGAAACATCGAAAGGTGCACAGCAAAATTAAACAATCCCCATGCAAGTCATAATAAGACGAAAGATGCAAAAATTAAAAGAACAGCAGCAAAATCAACATCTCCAAGATTAAGTTGTGAATCCCCCCCCCCACAAAGAAATACTCCAACTCCAAGAATGGTGATGATGGTTCATGATGACGGAATCCAAGCCCATATCAGTAGTAACTGGCAACTCTGGCAACTGGCAACACATTTTATGCATTCATGAAATGCTTTGTTTACATTAAGTCAGTAATGTGTGCAACGTTCTTGTATGGGAGGCCGCTTTAGTCTTCCTGGGCCGCAAATGGGGATCTGATGCCAAGAGAGATTTTTGCTTGCCTAAAGCCACCGCTTGAATTCATTTTGAGACCTGGAGAGAGCAGACCACCCTTCTCACACCCTGAGCCACGCCAGGAAACCAACTCTTGCCACTTCCACCTCATGCCCAGGCATTCCTTGCCGGGCAAAGCTGCTAAAAAAAACCAGCAACCCGCCTCCCTCCCAATTCCTAGCGGTGCTCCTGCAGGTCCTGGAAAGGCGTTTTGGGTGTGTGGTCTGCCTCTGCCCTGCCCCCCTCGCCTTTCTCGCGCCGAGAGGTCCAGCAACCACTGACCGACCCCCCCCTGCCTGCCTGTGACTGTGTTTGCGCAGACGCTGTTAGACCTGGGTGCCTCTACAGATTACAAGGACAGCCGTGGATTAACGCCTCTGTACCACAGTGCCATGGTTGGAGGGGACCCCTACTGCTGTGAGCTCCTCTTGCACGACTACGCCAAGGTGGGCTGCATCGACGAAAACGGCTGGCAAGAAATCCATCAGGTGAGGCTGCGGGGCGGCTGCAGGTGGGTGGGTGGGTGGAGAGGCTAGCACCCTGGTGGGGGGCTCAGCCCCCAAGCGGTTGCCTGGCGGAAGAGGCCCCACGTTGGGGAAAGTGAGGTAGCTGCTACACCGGGTTGTGGTGGCGTTTTGGAGCAGGGGGCCACCGGGGCACAGGTGACGCTTGGCTCTGCTTTTACGCAACACCTGAGTCTGGAGAGGCCGTACATCATCTGGGTTGTTGTCTGGGGTGGAGTGGATGAAGGTCAATAAACTGAACTTGATCCCTGTGAAGATGGAGTTGTGATGATTGTTCCCATGTCCAGGAAACTGACTGGTTGCCCATTCTGGATTGGGTTGACCGCCCTCTGAAAAAACACGGTGGCAGTTTGCAGGCTGCTCCCAGGTCCATCTTTGTCACCAGAGTCTCAGTTAGCCTCAGAGGCCAGGAGTGCCTTTGAATGGTTTTGGCTGGCATGTCAACCATGGCTGTTCTTGGGACAGGGAGAATCTGGCCGTAGTGGAAGGGAGCCCCATGATGTTTGGGCCATGATACGAAGCGCAAGGCTCTTGGTGGAGCCTCCATTGGCTCCCAGTGCATCAAGCACAATTCAAAGTGTTGGTGTTGACCTTTAAAGCCCTAAAAAGCCTCAGCCCAGTATAGTTGAAGGAGCTTCTTCACCCCCATCATTCTGCCCAGATGCTGAGGTCCAGTGCCGAGGGTCTTCTGGTGGTTCGCTCCCTGCAAGAAGTGAGGTTACAGGGAACCAGGCAGAGGGCCTTCTCGGTGGTGGCGCCCGCCCTGTGGAACGCCCTCCCATCAGCTGTTAAGCAAATAAACAACTACCTGACTTTTGGAAGACATCTTAAGGCAGCCCTGTTTAGGGAAGTTTTTAATGTTTTACAGTGTTTTTAATATTTATATTATTATTATCTTGGTGGATCCCACTCACCCCCCCCTCTGCCCCCCACAAAAACAACACATTTCTAAAGTGTTATTTCTGCTATGGAATCATGTCTGCAAAATGTGGCATAGATGATTTAGAATAAGTAATTCAGTGTTGGAGGAAGCCTGTGAGGTGTGTGTGTGTGTGTTTTGGAGGGTCATGGAGAGCAGGGGGCACTGTTGGTGTGGTTTGTTGAGTCCAGCACTTGCTGCTGTCCCCCGTGTGACCACCCACCTGAACTGAAACTTCTCTGCCCCTCTTCCTTCCTTCCCCAAACAGGCCTGTCGCTATGGGCATGTTCAACACCTAGAGCATCTTCTTTTCTATGGGGCGGACATGACAGCGCAGAACGCATCTGGGAACACAGCCCTCCACGTCTGTGCTCTCTACAACCAGGTGAGTCCTCCCTCCCCTCGCTCTGGCCTTGGGCCCCCTCCCCTGGCAGACCAGCCCTTAGAATCATAGAATCATAGATTTGGAAGAGACCACAAGGGCCATCGAGTCCAACCCCCTGCCAAGCAGGAAACACCATCAGAGCACTCCTGACATATGGTTGTCAAGCCTCTGCTTAAAGACCTCCAAAGAAGGAGACTCCACCACACTCCTTGGCAGCAAATTCCACTGTCGAACAGCTCTTACTGTCAGGAAGTTCTTCCTAATGTTTAGGTGGAATCTTCTTTCTTGTAGTTTGGATCCATTGCTCCGTGTCCGCTTCTCTGGAGCAGCAGAAAACAACCTTTCTCCCTCCTCTATATGACATCCTTTTATATATTTGAACATGGCTATCATATCACCCCTTAACCTCCTCTTCTCCAGGCTAAACATGCCCAGCTCCCTTAGCCGTTCCTCATAAGGCATCGTTTCCAGGCCTTTGACCATTTTGGTTGCCCTCCTCTGGACACGTTCCAGTTTGTCAGTGTCCTTCTTGAACTGTGGTGCCCAGAACTGGACACAGTACTCCAGGTGAGGTCTGACCAGAGCAGAATACAGTGGCACTATTACTTCCCTGGATCTAGATGCTATACTCCTATTGATGCAGCCCAGAATTGCATTGGCTTTTTTAGCTGCCGCGTCACACTGTTGGCTCATGTCAAGTTTGTGGTTAACCAAGACTCCTAGATCCTTTTCACATGTACTGCTCTCAAGCCAGGTGTCCCCCATCTTGTATTTGTGCCTCTCATTTTTTTTGCCCAAGTGCAATACTTTACATTTCTCCCTGTTAAAGTTCATCTTGTTTGTTTTGGCCCAGTTCTCTAATCTGTCAAGGTCGTTTTGAAGTGTGATCCTGTCCTCTGGGGTGTTAGCCCTTGAAGGGGATCAAGAGCCCTCCTCCTGCTGCACCCGTGCAGCCACCCATGGAGTTCTGCAGGCAGGCAGGTTGGACTAGATGACGCTTGGGGTCCCTTACAACGTGACAATTTTGAGATTCTGCATTCCTTTTGCTTGCATGAAGAAAGCCGACAGGGAAAGGGGTGTCCAAGGGGATTGGACCTCCTCAAGATTCAGCTCCAGGATATGCAGAGCGGTTTAAAGGAAACTACCCCTGAGCATGTACTGAGTGCATTCCCCTTACGACTTGAAAGTGTAGCTGAAGCTGAGTCTGGGGTCCAGGGATTCCAAGTCAGCGGAGATTCAAGCCTACTCTGCAGGCTTAAGTTCTGATACCTCTCCTTTTCCAGAAAGTAAAAAACTTATTCTCAAACCTTTTCAGGGAACACTCCCTCCCCCCAGTTCCAGAAACTCATCCTCTGTGCCCCCAACCCTACCCTACCCTACAGGGGTACCTCGGGTTACAAACGCTTCGGGTTACGTGCTTTCAGGTTGCGGACCACGGGAAACCCAGAAGTTCCTCAGCCTCTGACTCAGCTCTGAATTGCCAGTCTGGCAGTGCAGGCTGTTCCCATGTTGCTCCCCCCCCCCCAAAAAAAAAAAAATTCAGGAGAGTTCACTCTGCCTTTCTTTTTCCCCTGCCAGGAAAGCTGCGCTCGGGTCCTTCTCTTCCGTGGTGCGAGCAAGGAGATCCGGAACTACAACAGCCAGACAGCATTCCAGGTAGGAGAGCCCAGCAGTGGGGCCAGGGAAAGGGTCTCTGCCTCCTGGGCTGCCCTCCCACTCCCACCCTTCCATGTCTCCCTCGGAAGAGGGCGGCAGAGGCCCCCCGTGTGGGTTCTTGCCCATCCGTGCCATCGGCCTCCTCTCTTGGGGGGGCCAACTGCGCAGGCAGCAAAGGGAAAGAGAGGCAGTAATTGTCCAGGAGGGAGAGGCATGCCAAGAATGGCAGTTTTATCGGGGAAGGGGCCAGCCAGATCTGCGCCCCCGGGCAGAAATCCTATAGAGTCAGCGGGGCCTCGGACCCATCCTGCTTGCTGTGGGGCACGGGAAGAACTGCACTCTAGAGCAGAGTTGGACCCTCCTGCAGACGCTATAGGGCACTCCACCCCCAACAGCCAGCATAGTGAGCATTCAGGCCACATCCCAGACTCAGGGTATTTTATTGAGGCAATAGCAACAATAAGTAAACAGAATAATAATAATAATAATAATAATAATAATTTATTTATTTATACCCTGCCCATCTGGTTCCCCAGCCACTCTAGGCAGTATACAGCAAAATATTAAAATACAATAATTCATCAAACATTAAAAACTTCCCTAAGCAGGGCTACCTTCAAATGTCTTCTAAAAGTCAGATAGTTGTTTATTTCTATGGGGTGGGAGCCACCACCGAGAAGGCCCTCTGCCTGGTTCCCCATAATCTCACTTCTCGCAAGGAGAGAACCGCCAGAAGGCCCTCAGAGCTGGACCTCAGTGTCCGGGCTGAATGTTGGGGGTGGAGATGCTCCTTCAGATATACTGGGCCGAGGCCGTTTAGGGCTTGAAAGGTCAGCACCAACACTTTGAATTGTGCCTCTCAATTATAATTATAACAATGCATCTCAAAGCTCATCCTCAGTGGCTGCCAATTAACTATCTGGCTAAGGGCTCACTCACACTTTTGCTTGCCCCACAGCTTTCCTTCAGTTTACTGCTGAATCTGAGCAAACATGGATTGGGTTTTCTCTGGATTGGCGATTGCTCCAATTTAGCACTAAAGAGCGGTTTTCCCAGGTTGGGCGAGGGGAGGGAAAGCTGCAGGGCCAAGTCAGAAAACCACTTGGATCTGAGTACAGAAAGAACGGGATAAGTCCAGCCTCACCTTGAAGCCTTGAAAGGAAGGAAATTTTGCAAAGAAACAAACAAACAAAAAAACAACCCCACACCTGCACCCTCAATGCGCTCCCACCCATGCCACAGGCAACCTTCCCTGCAGCTGACAGCAAGGAGCCTCATTCTGCACCCCTACAATTTAAAGCAACTACTCTCTTCCCTTCTTATTCTCAGAGGAAAGAGAGAAAAGGTCCCTCCTATCTAGGGGGCAAGTGGCTTCCAAACTGGTGGGTTTTGGGGGCGGGGATTGAATTATTCAACATTTATTGCAAACCACTTAAAGGCTTTTATTGTAATCAAGGTTTTAAATACAGATAGATAGATAGATAGATAGATAGATAGATAGATGATAGATAGATGGTAGACAGTCTTGTTCGTCTTTCTGGAAGACAGATAGATGATAGATAGATCTATCTATCTAACAAGACAGTCTTATTAATTGTTCTGGAAGGCAGATAGATAGATGATAGAGAGATGGAGAGATGATAGATAGATAGATAGATGATGATAGATAGATGATAGATAGATAGATAGATAGATAGATAGATAGATAGATAGAGAGATAGAGAGATAGATGATAGATAGATAGATATAGATAGATGATAGATGATAGATGATAGATAGATGATAGATAGTTAGATAGATTAGATAGATAGATAGATAGATAGATAGATGATAGATGATTAGATAGATAGATAGATAGATGATAGATGATAGATATAGATAGATAGATAGATAGATAGATAGATAGATAGATAGATGATAGATAGATAGATAGATAGATAGATAGATAGATAGATAGATGATAGATAGATATAGATGATGGAGGGGGAGAGAGATACCAACAAGCAAGGATGTCACTGATGCGATAACAATGCATTGGCGTGGAGTTACCCTGGACCGACCTCACATAAGGCTGCTTCACTAATTGTTCTGCAATGCTTCCCCAATGTTACTGCATTGCTGCCTTCTTGTGCTCCAGCACAGCCAAAGCAGGACAAAAAGAATCCATCAGAACTTTTGTGGTATGAAAAGATGCGGGATTTTAGCAGGGAGCTATGGGACATGCACACATCACCAGCCAGGCTTCCTGCTGGCCAAGGAAACAGAGAAGGGGCAATGGGGAGTCATGTCCCCCCAGGAGAACATGAGAAGAGCCTGCTGGATCAGGCCACTGGCCCATCTAGTCCAGCATCCTGTTCTTCTCACAGTGGCCAAGCAGGTGCCTCAGCTCGGAAGCCCACAAGAGCAGGATCTGAACACAAGAACAACTCGCCCCTCCCATGGTCTCAACAACTGCCATCCAGAGACATTAGCCATCCATAGCCCTCTACTCCTCTGAGAATTTTCCTAATCTTCTTTTGAAGTCATCCAAGTTGCTGGCCATCACTGTCTCCTGTGGCAGAGAGTTCCATAGGTTAAGTGTGCTGTGCCAAGTGCCTCCTCCCCACCACCACCTTGACCCCAAACCTGCTACAGCAAGAGGGGCAGGACTCACCTTCTGTCAGGAGTGCGTGCAGGAGCCGGGCCCTGTGACCAGTAGGGCTTCGCAGGACTGGGGCCTTCCTAAGTTTGTTCTGGAGAGGCAAGGCGCGGCCACACAGGTGAGGCCAATTGGTAACTCACAGCACCTGGTGGCAAGAGCCGGGAAGGGATATAAGGTCAGCATTTCCCTTCGGCTCTTTGCCACAGCAACTCGCTTCCTGCCTTGCTGCGTTTGGCTTCTTGCTTCCTGATCCTCAGACCTCGGTTCCTTGACTCCTTGCTTCTCGACCCTTGACTTCATGACTCCTTGCTTCTCGACCCTTGGACACTTGACTTCGTGACTCCTTGCTTCTCGACCCTCAGACCCTTGACTTCGTGACTCCTTGCTTCCCGACCCTCGGACCCTTGACTTCATGACTCCCTGCTCCTCAACCCTCAGACCCTTGACTTCGTGACTCCTTGCTTCCCGACCCTGGGACCCTTGACTTCATGACTCCCTGCTCCTCAACCCTCAGACCCTTGACTTTGTGACTCCTTGCTTCTCGACCCTCGGACCCCTGGCTTCTGGATACTCATTCCTGCTCCCACCCCGCCATCTTGCCCCCGGTCCCGACGTCCTCAGCCGGGACTTCGATCACGCGTAGACCGGACCTTGACACCTTGCCTAAAGGTCTGGGGTGGGCAGCTGCCCTGTTTCAACTGGGCTTTCAGCCAGCCATAAAGTCCTAGTAAAAGCATAGCGCTTAGTCCGCTTTGTGTGTCGGGAAGCTGTCTCTCCAGCTTCTGGTTCTTCATTCCTGTCTTCCCATTGTGAATCATGAAATGTAGTTTAGGAGGCAGTTTCTGACAATGCCTGAAAGAGCTTCTTCCCACCTCCATCCCAATGCTGGGCTCCTTTGGCCCAGGAGGGAGGCCACCCCAGGGTGCCCAGTGAGGCTAGTGACCCTCTTGGCTTGGGCATGGAGGGGCAGGTGACCCTGGAGAAGCTGCGCTTTGGAGATGGCCCCCTTTGCGCATCCCCCCGGTTCTGTTTTGGCATGCCGACAGCGTGAGTGATAAATCCAGGGCTATTTTTATCGCAGGCCTTTGTCAGCAAGTCTCCCGCGGGAAGGGCAGCAAGAAGCAGCAGCAGGAGGAGCAGGATTCGCTTCGCCAAGGAAGGATCTCTACGAGTTAAGGAAGGGCACAGGCCCTGACTCTTCCTCAGATGCCTGGAGAATGGGCTGATGGGGCAGAATTTGCGCAAGCTGCAGCTCAGGAGCACTGTTTGTGCAATGGCGCCGCTAAGGAGCCCCATGCTCTGCTTCCAGAGCTCAGCCTTGGCATGTGTGAATAGGGGGTGCCCCATGGTCCCTGACCCCCAACTGGAGCTCCTCTGAGCACCTGCAAGCTGAGCCCCACCCAAAGCAGCTCTCCCACAACCAGACCCTGCCATAGCTGAAAGTTGTGGCTCCCAAAGGAGTTCATGGCACGCAGTGTGTTTCGGAAGCTGAGCACAAATGTTGGGGCAGCCGAGAGCTCCTGAACCACTTCCAAGTCTGCATCAGCCTAACTTGTTGGAGGCAGCAATTTTGCTTCTGAATGCCAGTTGGTGGAAACCACAGAAGAAGAGAGGACTCTGGTGCTGGGGTTCTCCTTGCAAGTTTGCCCAAAGTGCATTCTGGCTGGCCGCTGTGAGAACAGGATACTGGACTGGAAGGGACACTGGCCAGCAGGGCTCTTCTTAGGCTTTTTATGTCCAAGCACTTGTGAGTCAACAGCTTATGTTGCTTCTGGCATTTCAGTGCCCTGTGTTATGTGCAAACAAGGGATGACTGGGAGATCCCTCTCCAGGTGAATAAGATGATGATGATGATGATGATGATGATGATGATGATGGTGATGACAATAATTAATTTATTATTTGTACCCCATCCATCTGGCTGGGTTTCCCCAGCCACTCTGGGCGGCTTCCAACAAAGATTAAAAATACATTAAAATGTCACACATTAAAAACTTCCCTAAACAGGGCTGTCTTCAGATGTCTTCTAAATGTCAGGTAGTTGTTTATCTCTTTAACATCTGATGGGAGGGCATTCCACAGGGCAGGTGCCACCACCGAGAAGGCCCTCTGCCTGGTTCCCTGAATCTTTGCTTCTTGCAGTGAGTGAACTGCCAGAAGGCTCTCGGCGCTGGACCTCAGTGTCCGGGCAGAACGATGAGAGTGGAGACGCTCCTTCGGGTATACTGGGCCTTTGAGGCCATTTAGGGCTTTCAAGGTCAGCACCAGCACTTTGAATTGTGCTCGGAAATGTCCTGGGAGCCAATGCAGATCTCTCAGGACCGGTGTTATATGGTCTCGGCGGCCGCTCCCAGTCACTAGTCTAGCTACCGCATTCTGCATTAGTTGTAGTTTCTGGGTCACCTTCAAAGGTAGCCCCATGTAGAGCGCATTGCAGTAGTCCAAGCGGGAGATAACTAGAGCATGCACCACTCAGGCTGTAAGCCCAGGGGAGATCTTGGTGAGCCATGGCTGCTTGGAGGAAGACCGGCCTGGATGGACCAGTGGGACAATCCTGGATAGGGTCTGGAATCTTAAGCCTGATGAGGAACAGTTGAGGGAGGTGGGTTTGTTTAGCCTGGAAAAGAGGAGACATGAGAGCCATGTTCAAATACCTTAAGGGCTATAATATGGAAGGTGGAACAAACTTGGTTTCCGACCCAAACCGGTGAATTCAAATGAGCAGAAAGGACATTCTGACCCAACGTCAGATGGGAAGAGCTCTTTGGCAGTGGAACGGACTCCCTTGGAAGATGGACTGTCCTTCATTGGAGGTTTTTCAGCAAAGGTTGGGTGACAGCTGTCATGGATGCTTGAGCTGAGAGTCCTGCACTGCAGGGGGTTGGACTAGATGATCCTCAGGGTCCCTTCCAACCCTACAGGTCTTATGATTCTGTGAAGTGGGCACTTCTGCAGGCGCTGGCCTGTCTGTCTCATTCTGCTTCAACTTCCTGAGACTCTGAGCCTTGGTGGTGATCAACATCTGACCGCCTCCCCCTCCCCCGCTGCCAGGGATTCATCTGGCCTCTCCATCTCTGCTAATGTGTGCCATTTTGTGAGTTTCCATTACGGTGGCAGCATTTCACGGTCTTCTGCATCCATTTCATACTTGAGATCAGACTGCTGCATCTTGGATCTGTTTCAGTTCCATTTTGTCAGAAGCAATTATTAACACCCCCTCCCTCTCTTGTCCCTCCCCCCGCCTTTGTGGACTCCAGAGGAAAGAAGCAGCTGAACTTTCATCCTGTTTCTCAGCTCCCTTCGGGGTCTTATTTGGGTCCTGTCGAGAGGATGTGGCAGCCGTCAGAGAATGACAGATCCATACATTTGTAGACCACACTTTCAAGAAGTTCCAGGGTGCCATCCCTGATCATAGAATTGTATAATTGTAGAGTTGGAAGGGACTGCAAGCGTAATCTAGCCCAACCACCTGAAATGCAGAAATCACTGCTAAAGACTCCCCGAAGGACACCACCCAACCTCTGCCTAAAAACCTCCAAGGAGGGAGAGTCCATCTTTTGAGGTCTTCTGCTCCACTGTCGAAAGTTCTTCCTAATGTTAATCAGAATCTCCTTCCTTACAGTTTGAATCTGTTGGTTTGGCTCCCTCTGGAGCAGCGAAAAACATGCTTGCTCCATCTTCTAATTGACAGCCTTTGAGGTATTTTAAAGTGGCTCTCATATCTCCAAAAGGGACACAGGTGGTGCTGTGGGTTAAACCACAGAGCCTAGGACTTGCCGATCAGAAGGTCGGCGGTTCGAATCCCCGCGACTGGGTGAGCTCCTGTTGCTCAGTCCCAGCTCCTGCCCACCTAGCAGTTCGAAAGCACGTCAAAGTGCAAGTAGATAAATAGGTACCGCTCCGGCGGGAAGGTAAACGGCGTTTCCGTGTGCTGCTCTGGTTTGCCAGAAGTGGCTTAGTCCTGCTGGCCACATGACCAGGAAGCTGTACACTGGCTCCCTCAGCCAATAAAGCGAGATGAGCGCCGCAACCCCAGAGTCGGCCACGACTGGACCTAACGGTCAGGGGTCCCTTTACCTTTACCTCATATCTCCTCTCAGTTTCTTCTTTTCCAGGCTAAACCTACCCAGCTCCTTCAACTGTTCCTCATCAGTCTTGGTTGCCAGGCCCTTGATCATCTTGGTTGCCCTCCTCTGCACACCTTCCATCTTGTCAACATCCTTCCTAAATTGTGGTGCCCAGAAGTGGACACAGTATTTCAGATGTGGTCTGATCAAGGCAGAAGAGAGTGGGACTATGACTTCCCTTGACCTGGACACTAGACTTCTGTTGAGGCAGCCTAGAATAGCCTTGTCCTTTTTTTGTTGCTGCATCACTCTGTTGACTCAATGTGCTTGTAAGTTGAACAGGAGACTGAGAAGAGGGTACCTGGACCAGTGTCAACTGGGGGGCGGGTTATGACTGCTGTCTCATCCACACTTCTGCCTAGAAAGCACGGGTCCAAGCAGTTTTCTGCTTGACCCAAAGTTTCAAGGCACAAGTCTGAGCTGTTTTCTCCTTGCCCCAGCACCCTTGCACCAGCTCCTTATTGTTGCATCAGGAAAAACATCAATCCTGGGGAAACACGAATTGCCATTTGCTCTGATTGAGCGCTAAAGAGCAGTTTCCCTGGGGAAACCAGTGGGGTGAGAGGAATTGTGGATAAGCCCTGGGTTGGGATTTAAAGCCCAGGTCTTCCTCATCCAAGTCCAGCACTGTAACCCACAAACAACACTGTGCCTCATGCCGTGATAAACCCACCACCAGCCTTCCCAACACAGGACCCTCCAGATGGTGTTTATTTATTTCATTTATTTCCCAGGGGGGGGGGAATTGCCACCAACATTAAGAAAAATTTCGCAGGCGAAAGAAAGAAAGAAAGAAAGAAAGAAAGAAAGAAAGAAAGAAAGAAAGAAAGAAAGAAAGAAAACCATCCAAGAAACAAATGAAATATGCATTCCAAATTCATAGACCAAATTGATACATCAACACATCTGAATCACACGCCCCATCTCAGGGAAAGCCTGGGTGTGGTTCAAATGCGGCTCCCATGACCCCTATCCAGAAGGACCATTGATCTGGGGGGCACCGTGTTGGCCACCTCTGGCTTGTGCTATAGCGAGATTTGAGTTCAGGTGGGCATAGCTGCATTCGGGGAACTCATTTGCACCTGTTGATCTGCCCACATCCCAGAAAATGCCTGAGTTGGGCTTGTGGGGCCAATGCCATGCCCCATAGCCCTTGGTGCCCTGTTCTAGGTATCAGGGCAGCAGACTCACTGACTGGGTGAATCAGGGAATCAGGGTGTTTTACATGAGTAGAATGTGTCCTTTTATTTAAAATGCATCTCTGGGCTATTTGTGGGGCTTAGGGATTTGTTCATTCCCCCCCCCCAAAAAATATAGTTCACTCCCCCACAAGGTCTGAGGAACAGTGAGCCGGCCCCCTGTTGAAAAAAGTTTGCTGGCCCCTGTAGCTTGGGGATCGTAGCCACCTCATCAACACTGTTCAGAAAGGACATTATTGCAAAGGCTTTGGAAGACCTTTGCCTTCTAGCTCAGCAATTCTGATGGGGAAAAGAAATGACAGACTATGCTCTGGGGAGGGTGCAGCAGCATGGAGAGTTCATTAAGGGATGAGAAGTTAAAAGGGTGCTGCCACAAGTGGCCTACCTCACAGGGTCGTTGTAAGATTGAACAATATAAATCTCTGTGATTGTTAATTAAAAAACCTCGATGCATCTGGAATATGCAGCCCCACCTGACTCCTGTGCTTTGTCCTCTCCCCTTGTTTCAGGTGGCCATAATTGCGGGGAATTTTGAACTGGCCGAAATCATCAAAACCCACAAAGAGTCCGACGTTGGTGAGTGAGAGTGTTTGGCTTTCCACGCACTTCTTATCTCCTTGTGCAGCTGAGAGGCCCTTTGACCATCAATGGTGGGAGGCTGGGGCACGACAGTTGTGGTGCCAGGCCAACCCCTGGCCAAGAGGGCCAAGGAGGAGATGCCACGAGGACCAGAGGACTTGAGAAAGGGCCAGCCTGGCTACCTTGTTAACACTGCCCTGCTTGGAAACCTCTCCCTGCTTTCCCTGAAGTGACCTTGAGTTGGCAGCTTCAGGGCACCTACCCATTGAAGTGGATGAGAGGAGGAGCATCACCCTTGGAGCTTTTTGTCCCATGATTTCTGGGTTTCCTGGGGGTGGGGAGCCCCTTGACCAGGAGACTCGCCACCCTGCAGTGGATTTTGAACTGGTGACCTCCTTGGGAACCTCTGGCAGTGAGTCCAGCTCCGTCATAAAGTCCTGGCTGCTGTCACCCTAGTCTCATGGGAGAGAGCATTCCACCAGGTCGGAGCAATCACTGAGAAGGCCCTGGCCCTGGTGGAGGATAATTGGACTTCCTTAGGGCCTGGGACCTCTAAACTATGGTTATTCATGGACCTTAAGGTCCTCTGCAGGGCAGACCAGGAGAGGCAGGCCAGTAGATACAAGGGCCCTAAGCCACCCAACTGCCAACAGAAGGGACCTTTTGCATTCCTTGTGGGGCTGCAGTGCAGACTGGATACCTCTGGAACCTCTGGCCTAGCCTGTCTAGTGTGTGGAGGGTAACTCTGGGAGGAGGAACAGAAGGTGACAAGGTGGCATCTCTTTATCTTGTGGTTGGTTTGAGGTAGGCGATTGGCTGTGCCTCTTTGGGGTGTCTTCTGCCTTGCTCCCCACACCCCTTCCATCCCATAAGCAGCTCCTGCAGGGACAATGCTGGTATTTCCTCCCCTGAGAATGCATGCAATGATCTGCTTCTGGGGTGCAGCTACATTTAGAATGGTTTTTGCTCTTCTGGGCTCCCACTTGGCAGAGACTGAAGGAAATGATCAAAAGGAAGGAGGGTGCATCTTGCATAGAAGGGAGGCTGGAGGAGACACAGGCTTTTCAGCTTGGGCAGAGGAAATTCAATGGCAGGAGATGAGAGAGCATTGCATGAAATGATGAGCAGCACAGAAGGAGGAATCCGGGAGCAAACGGTTCATTTCTGTGGGAATGTTCAGGGATGCGGGAGAGGATATATTGTTTGATTATAGCCTTTCCAACTTGTGTTAACAAGTTCACAATTTAGCAGAGTAACATTCCCCTTTTTTAAACTCACAGTGGATGCGTTTGCTCAGGCTCGCTTAAAAGGTAAAGGTAAAGGTACCCCTGCCCGTACGGGCCAGTCTTGACAGACTCTAGGGTTGTGCACCCATCTCACTCCAGAGGCCGGGGGCCAGCGCTGTCCGGAGACACTTCCGGGTCACGTGGCCAGCGTGACATCACTGCTCTGGCGAGCCAGAGCCGCACACGGAACGCCGTTTACCTTCCCGCTATAAAGCGGTCCCTATTTATCTACTTGCACCCGAGAGTGCTTTCAAACTGCTAGGTTGGCAGGCGCTGGGACCAAGCAACGGGAGCGCACCCCGCCACGGGGATTCGAACTGCCGACCTTTCGATCGGCAAGCCCTAGGCGCTGAGGCTTTTACCCACAGCGCCACCCGCGTCCCGCTAGGCTCGCTTAAGCCTCTATAATAACTGTACTGGTATTTTCCCCTCATAAAAGATAAGACACGACACAGTCTTCTATAAAAGTATAAAAAGAGTTTACTCACATTCTGTTCACAATCGGATCCCAGAAGGCAGACTTATCTTAGAAAAGTAACATACACTTGGAAACTATCTCATAAGGAGACAGTCCCTTTGTCCTCTCTTGGCTGGAAGCCAAGAGAGCATCTTTAGCTAAGCAGATGTTGCTTCTTCGATGTATGTAGTCAAATAGAGAGAGTTGGCTGCCCTGCCCTGTGCTTTTGTCGTTACCTGCACAGGTGAGGCCACGCCCACCTCTAGTCACATGCAGAGGAAGTCTGTCCCAGCCCAGAAGGAAACAGGAACTTTACCTGCTGGCTGCACAAACATTCCTCCCCATGTGCAAACATGTTCACTCTAAGAATGTTGTACTTGACTGCTCTTGTGTTTCACATTGCACAATTTCTGAGTCACGGCAGCTGCTGTGTTGGGTTGCACCAAGAGACCAAACCAGCATCTGGTTCCCAATCAGTATCTGGGCTGCCCCTCTCATGTCTGGGAGGTAACAAAATTCCCTCTGCATTGAGAAGAGCATCTTCAGACCAAGGTGAAGGCTTCCAACTACCTCTTCTCCTTGACAGGCTAGCTTTCTGCGGGCGTGGTGTTTTTGTTTCAAACGGAGGGGTGTCCCATCAAGAGAGCCCCTACACCATAGCCTGAAGGAGTGCAGCCCAGATGACAGGCAAAGAAGTTCATTCAGACAGGAGCTTTGCTACCTCAAGGCCTCTGGAGTTTTGTACTCAGGCGGAGACGAAAACCCCAAGCTTGTCTCTCCTCCCTTTCCAGGGAGTCGCTTCGGTTCCCCACGAGAGAAGAATGGCAGTTTCTTGAGCACCTATCAGGCGCAGGATCTGAGGCAGAGAGCAGGGCCCATTAACAAATGAAAGGGAGATTACATTAATGAGAATTGTCAAACGGCTTGGCTACCAAAACCGACTTATTTAATTTTGTTCCATTGAGAGGGCGGAGGCGGAGGCACGAGATCAATTAAAGGCGGAAAGGCTGCCTTGGCGAGAGGTGGCTATCAGTCCAAGTAGGTCAAATAGCACTGGGGGGAAAGGGAGGGTGAGAGGGACTGGGAGCGGGCAGGCGGGCAGCAGGTCCAGATGGCCAGCTCCTCCAAGCCAAGGGAATTGGCGAAGGAACAGCCTGAAGCGAACCCTCAGAAAGGTTCCTGAAACACCTGCAGAGAAGTGGGATTAGGAGCAGAGGAAGAGCCTGCGGGGCTTGGAAGGGCCAGGTGGCAGGGGAGGGGGGGCAGGCCACATCCAGACCTGCGCTGGGCACCTCATCCCAGCTCCTGGGAAGGTGAAGGCAAGAACAGGTATCAGGGCCAGGAGAAACACCTGCGAGGAGCGGGGACTGAGTTGGACTCAAAGCGCCATTTGCAGGGCTGGGTGTCCATTGCCAAGGTCATGGCTGTTTCTGCCAGTGGCATGACCCTCACCCAGTGGTTGAAAGGTCCATTCTCCCAGCAGATCCCTCCTTTGGCCAGTGCTTGGAGGGGGGCACTCAAGGAAGGCCATGGCCAAGCCCTGATCGGCGCTGTGCTTCTGCACTCGGCACAGGAGTGATCATATTTATTTCCTGTACTTTTCGAACACATGGAGGAACTTGCAGGGCCACTAAGTGTTGTGTGTGTGTGTTTGCATGCATGCATGGGTGTGCTCATGTGCAGAGTGGCTGAGCATGCAGGCCTCCGAGGTCTGTGCTTGCCAGGTTCAAAATGGGAGCGTGGGTGTGTGCATGAACCCTGTTTGTTTTCATTGGTTTATTTGCAAAGCGTTTCGTTTCCTCTGGGCCACCCAGCCCAGATGTGTCCCCAAAGCAGTTTGCAATTGAAATATATTCGGAGTCGAGAGTGGATTTCATGCTCTTATTCAGCTCATAGTGGTGAAGACGAATGGAAGTTCCCCCAGAATGTCTGCTTTATATACGTTATTTACAGAATGAGCCCCATGTGATTGGCTAATTCCGGGAATCACCTGTAGGCCAATCAGGTTGCGGATTCACTTCCACCTGGAGCTGGATTGGGTGGCTCCTGTGGACCAATCAGACTGCTGCATTGTTCCTAGGACCAATCAGACTGCTGCATTCTGGATCCTATTGTTCTAGGACCAATCAGACTGCTGCCTTTTGGATCCAATTCAACTCAGTACATAACAGCAATAATGAAATGGAGAGCAGTGAAATTTAAAATGCAGCGTAACCACGCAAAGGTCCTTGACTAAGCCTCTTACTCCTTGGCCATTGGAGCCTGCTGGCCTCTGTGCCTCCTGCGGATTCCCCCAGCCTCTGAGGAGACAGGTAGCTGCAATCTCCTGATTGTGGAATCCCTCCTGAAACCAGGTGCTCCTTAAAAAGATCCATTCAGAAAGCTGACACCAACAGCAGGGAGAGAGGGGGACAAAGTCAACTCAACGGCTTTCCTGCTAAGGTGATCTGCCCCTCCCTGCAAGTTATTGAAACTCCAGACAAGCAGCAGATATGGTATATGAGGACCTGGCAGAGCAGGGTGGCTATCCCTGCTCAGCAGCCTGGGATCACAGTCTCTCAGACTAGCCTACGTCGCGGGGTTATTTTGAGGCTAGAATAATAATAATAATAATTTATTATTTATACCCAGCCCATCTGGCTGGGTTTCCCCAGCCACTCTGGGCAGCTTTCAACAGAATATTAAAATACAATAGTCTTGTTGTTTAGTCGTTTAGTCGTGTCCAACTCTTCGTGACCCCCTGGACCAGAGCACGCCAGGCACTCCTGTCTTCCACTGCCTCCCGCAGTTTGGTCAAACTCATGCTGGTAGCTTTGCGAACACTATCCAACCATCTCGTCCTCTGCCGTCCCCTTCTCCTTGTGCCCTCCATCTTTCCCAACATCAGGGTCTTTTCCAGGGAGTCTTCTCTTCTCATGAGGTGGCCAAAGTATTGGAGCCTCAGCTTCACGATCTGTCCTTCCAGTGAGCACTCAGGGCTGATTTCCTTAAGAATGGAGAGGTTTGATCTTCTTGCAGTCTATTAAACATTAAAAGCTGCCTTCAGATGTCTTCTAAAAGTCTGGTGGTTGTTTTCCTCTTTGACATCTGGTGGGACGGCGTTGCACAGCGCAGGTGCCGCTACTGAGAAGGCCCTCTGCCTGGTTCCCTGTAGCTTTGCTTCTCATAAGGAGGGACCGCCAGAAGGCCCTTGGCGCTGGACCTCAGTGTCTGGGCAGAATGATGAGGGTGGAGACGCTCCTTCAGGTATACTG